GTTCCAGAACGGCGCTGTGGCTTTGCTTTCCATTTGTCCTGGGGCCGGTGACGACAAATCCCCATTGTGAGTAGTAGAGGGAGCAGTTAGCTGGAAGTTCCACTTTGCATTGTCTGTGTGGTGTTTTTTGTAACCCAGGCCATGACGACCTGTTTAGCTGCTGCCAAAGCAAAAACTTCAGAGGCGCGTCATACTCCTACGTTCCAGAACGGCGCTGTGGCTTTGCTTTCCATTTGTCCTGGGGCCGGTGACGACAAATCCCCATTGTGAGTAGTAGAGGGAGCAGTTAGCTGGAAGTTCCACTTTGCATTGTCTGTGTGGTGTTTTTTGTAACCCAGGCCATGACGACCTGTTTAGCTGCTGCCAAAGCAAAAACTTCAGAGGCGCGTCATACTCCTACTTCGCAGTGCACGTGGCCGGGGCGCTGGTCCTCTTCATGAGCGACGGGATCATTGTAAGTACAGCTACGTGGCACTCACTCCACCCTGACTCCAGCACACCCCAGCTAAGCCTCAGGCAAAATACACGCACGCTGTTCATGGCTGGATCTCCTGGCACCGGGCATTCCCTCCTCCGCCCTGACTGGTGGAATCACATTAGTTGTGTATGCATCTGGACTCCTTTTTATTTGTGAGGGAGGTGGGGAGGATTCCCCCAGCTCGCCCCCTACCCTCTTGGTGTAGCCAAGAACTGAGGTGGGGCTGCTATTCCTACCTTAGTCATTTTAGGCCTTATTGTGTGGGGACAAGTGCAAAACTCACCAAGTCTTCCCGGGGCGTGAAGTAGACCAGCAAGTGTGACTCGCTGTGCAAAGCAACTGCTGCTGGGACACATCTGACCCTCCATTTTCAGATGTGGCCGATGCACGGCTTGTGTCTGAGCTTCTAGGGTTAGTGCATCTTTGAGGGTATGTCTACACTGCATTCCTCTTTCGAGAGAGGAATGCAAATGCAGCTGAGCTAAATTGCAAATGAAGCACGGAGTTTAATTTCTCGTGCTTCATTCGCATAATCGCGTGTGGGCGCTATTTTGAAATACCCTATTTTGAAAAAAGAAACGCAGTCTAGAAATTACCCTTAAACTCATTTTATATTTCATTTGCCGTTTCGCTCAGCTGCATTTGCATTCCTCTCTCGAAAGAGGAATGCAGTGTAGACATACCCTTAGGAACTGCTAGCCCCCTTTGGCCAGCACTTGTTCCCAGCCCCTCTGCAGATGCAGGCCCCTTCCCTCCCCTCACCCGGGCACCATCCATCTTGCTAAGGCAGCAGCCTACTTGCCTGCTTTTGCAGTCCCTATAACTATGACAAATGACTATTCATATAGAGTCAGAAGATCTCAGGAGTCACCAAGTCCAACCCCTGCTAAAAGCAGAACCAATCAATCCCAACTGAATCATCCCAGGCAGGGCTTTGTCAAGCCGGGACTTAAAAACTTCTAGGGATGGAGATTCCACCCCCTCCCTAGGGAATGTGGTGCAGTGCTTCACCACTGTCATAGCATCCCCATGGTAATAAAGCAGTAAGGAGACAGGCTTGCATTGATTCCCTAAGTCCCAAGCAACTGCAATTCAGTAGCTAGAGAATGAAGGGCTAAGGTCTGCTCTGAGGTGTGAGCAACCATAACAAGGCCTAGGGCATATACAGCACAGCTCATTAGTAGCCATCAAAGTGCTTTCCAAAGGAGGCCAGAAGCATCATGCCTACTCCAGCGGAAGCGCTTCCCCTGTAAGTCATTACCAGTTGAGCCAGGACAAGGCTCAGACTTGCTCTCCAGGCCAGTAGCCAAGCTGCTGACCTCCAAGTGGGGAACCTGCATCCAGCCCCTTCCACTGCCTGTTCAGAACAGGCTTGGCAAAGGGGGTTTCTTGCCACCTCAGGCTGTTGCACTTTAATTAAAAGGCCCAAATAAGAGGTGGACTGATGGTTCAGGCATGAGGTGTGGGTGTTGGAGAGCCTGGTTCAAGCCAGCTGTGTGGCAGGTGAAAGGTTTAGTGCAGCAAAGTGCTTTCTTGTTGGGAGTTGTTCTATTTTAACTACTATTAAATGGTCCAATGCAAGGCTTAGTCCTAAGCAGCCCTGTATGGCCTAGTGGTCAGGGCCCTCCCCTAGGGTGTTGGAGTGCTTGGTTCGAGTCCCCCTCCCACCTACTTGAGCAGGTCATTGGCTTTGAAGCCTGTGGTGTTTTCCTCTTGATGCCGTGCCCTGTGACTTAACTGTGAACGGGGTGAGCTCCTGGGCTATGGTCACTCTATAGCCCAGCGGTCGGGCTGCTTGCCGTCGGAGGTGAGCGGCTCTGGTTCGAATCCTTCCTCTGCCCAGTTAAGAAGGATTTGGAGAAGGCTGTCCTGCCTCCCAGGGGGAAGTGGGAGGTTCCTGTTTAGGTCCCCATTCACAGGAGGCCATTGTCTTTCTGAAATGGAAGGGGCTCTGAACAGAGATCGCTCACTTCACAGGTAAGTGGTGGATGGGGGCAGGGTTGGAGTGGGTGGGGGGTGGGCCTGGGTGGGGGGAGACCACCTAGGCGGTAGCCTGGCAGCAGGGGGCAAAAGAGAGACCTGTTTTATTAAACAGCCCAATGAATATTTTAATAAAATGGCCCCCCCGTAGCAGCCACCTGCTGTAAAGCACTTCCCCATAACAGGGATTGAACCAGGGTCCCCAGCATCTCAGGGGAGCACCCAACCCATTACACCACAGAGGGCATCTCTGTAGGCCGGCTCTGTTTGGCCCTATTCACAGTTAATTAATTAAAGTAGCAGCAACAGGAAAGGTAGGAGCCACTCCCTCATAAGAGGGCTAGTAGAGGGGAATAGATCTAGGGTCTTCAGCATCCCAGCATAGACCACTAACCACTGAGCTACAGCAGGCTGCTGGATAATAGCCCTTCCTTTGGCCCCATTCATAGTTAATTGAAGTAGCAGCAACAGGAAAGGTAGAAGCCACTCTCTGTTCGAAAGGGAACAGATCTAGGGTCTTCAGCATCCCAGCATAGACCACTAACCACTGAGCTACAGCAGGCTGCTGGATAATAGCCCTTCCTTTGGCCCCATTCATAGTTAATTGAAGTAGCAGCAACAGGACAGGTAGAAGCCACTCTCTGTTCGAAAGGGAACAGATCCAGGGTCTTCAGCATCCCAGCACAGATAACTAACCTCTAAGCTACAGCAGGCTGCTTGGTAACAGGCCTTCCTTTGGCCCCATTCATAGTTAATTAATGTGGAACAGCTTAAACTGGCAAGGCTGAGGACGCTCTCCCTGCCCTTCACCAGCCAGTGAACATAACTGCACCAGTGTCTTCAGCATCTCACAAGGAAACCCCACACGCCTGCTGAGCTCCAGAGGGCTTCTGACTAGAATAGCTTGCTACAGGCCACTCCCAGTTAAAGTAGTTCAGAGGAAATGCTGGGGTAAGGGGCACCTCCAACTACCGTCTAGCCCAACAGGTGGGCACCAGAGTGCAGCTCGGGCTGTCAGTGGCCCCATTACTGAAGTGGGGCAGTTTCAGCTAGCGACAAAGAGCAGCCCACCTGGGAATCTCTCGGCGCCTAGGGCACTCACCTAAGATGGCAGATCCCTCTTCCTCATGACCTCTACTGGGGCGGGCGTATGGACATAAAACAACATCTACTTGTGCCCTTTTCTCTGAGTCGCGGGGAAATCAGACGCACGGCTCCTGATTGCTCCCAACAATTGACTACCCTTCTGTTCTGAACCTGGCTGAGCATTAGGTTAGCCAGCCATGCTGCCCTGGAGGCATATCTCCCCGTGGCACGTGAGCAAGTAATGCAAGGTGAGGAGGACAGTTGCAGCTGCCGAAGGCTGAGGTTCAAAGCCCACCTAGCATTGGTTACAAGGGGAAAAGTGTGTATGCTCACCTGTGGGGGACAGCGCTCTAGAGGTATGCTGTGGCTGCCTGCAGGCACTCTACCTGGTTGTGGTGTTCATACCTCCCAGGCAGGGAATTTTGCCTCCTTTTTCACTAGGGCTGAGTCCTGCAAGCCCTCCTCCTTGGTGGTTGAGGGAAGATTCTTTAGGCCGCACTTATGGTGCTAGAGATTGATCTTCTGGCATTCCATTTAGCGGGTGTAGTGCAGGCCTGTTAAATCAAACACTGAGGGCAGCGCCGGCCAGCTGCAGTACTCCGGGCAGTCACGAGAGTTAAGGGAAGCCAATGCTGTGAAGATGGCGCTAAGCTCAGAGGTAGAGGATGTAGTTGGAGTTGCATAACTTAACCCAACCCTATAGGTCTAGTGTAGATCTGGCCTTAGACTGTAAGCTCTTCAAAGTACAGGGCATCTCTGCTCTGTGCCCAGCACCTGCCCCAATAGTGCTGACCCATGCCTGGACACGTGCAACATTCCCGGCGGAGAGCATGTTAGAGCAGCCCTAGACTGAGGAGATGTAAAATTAATGCAAAGGGCTGCTTGCTTTCCCTGCAGGGTGAGTACTCTGGCTTTGTCTACAGCTACGCCGTGGAGGAACCTCTTTCTGTGGGTCATAAGGTGGCTGGCTACCTGCCAAGCCTGTTCTGGGGGTTCATCACACTGGGCCGGCTCATCTCCATCCCTGTGTCCTACCGCATGAATCCTGCAACCATGGTGTCCATCAATGTGGTAAGTTGTCTATCCCCTGCCCCTGCTGCAGAGTGGGAGGGGAGTGCTTCTGAGTGGGAGGGGAAAGGGGTTCCCCTCCCCACACACAGTGGACAGAGGTATCCTTGCATCAGTGTAGCTACAGCTCCCTTTTGGGGATATTCTGCACCAATGCAAGGAGTGATTTGCACCCCCTCCTCCATTTTGGGTAGCTAGCACAGGCACAAATAACCATACCCACTGTGGTTGCATTGAGGGAGCTACCCTAGCACAAAGAACCCAAAACTAGACAAAGGACTTGGCCTGAAAACATTTTTGTTTTATTTTTATTGCTTTGGTGGTTTCTCTCATAGGCTGAAATCTGACTCAGTGGAAGTGCTGAGAGATGTGGATGTCTTTTACTCTTATGGCTTCCGTGGCATAACAGTTAAGAGTCTGGGAAGATCATAGGCAAACGGGATTGGATGTTTATGGGTCTAAATTTTCTAAAAAACCAAGTGCTTGACATCTCTCAAATGGGGAATTCACACACTGAGGCACCAGGTCACAAATCACTTTAGAAATATTGGGTCGCAGAGAAACAGCTACATTAAATTGTTTTTAACGATTAAGAATAGCAGAAGCCTGAGGATGTCAGACCATAAAGGAGTCACTTACTGGGTGAATTAGGGAGAAACTGCCAGCGATTGCCAGGTTATTGTTTTTTTCCCCCACAGTTAGGACACTGTTTGCGCTTTCCTCTGAAATGTGTCATCAGACTGCATGGATCCAGCATAACTAAAGATCAGAGGAACTTTGGGTTCTACCATTAGCTAGAACTAATTTGGGGGCTCCTTCTAGTCCTACCACATTTATTGGAAGTTTTGCCTTTTACTTCACAGGCAACAATTCTGCATTACACAAGTTTACCAACAGATGGAAAATTACCTGTTTTTAACTGTTTGAGATCACAGAATAAAATCTGCTCTAGAATTGCAATTAATACTGTTTATACACACTTTTGACCATCATTTAGGATTAAAATTTGATTTAATATTAAGTTAACTGTAAAAGGAACTGCCTTTAATTTCCAGATGGCTCTGTGCATCTGTATGCTTGCACACATTTTTTTAAATCCACCTATCACTCAATCCTGACTGAATTAAGGGGAAAAAACAGCGCCTTTATTTTTTGGCTGCGATTACATTTGGCAAGGGCTCCCCCTGCTGAGTTGTCACCAGCAATTCGGCAAAACAGCAGAGTTGTGACTTTAGTAACAATTGCAAGCAAAGGAGGGGGAAAAAAAAATCGCAAAAATCTGCACTTAAGGCTCAGTAGAAACACCAAAATGCAACATTTAGCTAGTTAGAAGGGGCTTGATTTCAATTCTTTGTCTAATGAAATTGGGATGGATGGTTCTCCTGGGCTTCTTAACCAAAATCAAATGCAGTTGGCCCTCTAGTGAGAATATTGAGCACTGCATTTAAAGGTAAATAGACTGATCTCTCTCTCTAGCTGAAAGTCACATCAGTGACTAGGGTGATTACTGGGGGACATGCAGATCATGCCTGTAACTTGACACTCAAGAGACAAAACTTTCTTTTCCATTCCCTTACCTATTCTTTTTAAAGCCCACTAGTGCCCCGTACTCTCTCAGCATTTCTCTTCTTCCCCAAAAGTGACCCTGGGCTTGTGTGGTTGCAGGTTGGAGTGCTCCTAACGTTCCTCCTGCTCCTGATGTTCTCCTACAGCGTGGTCTTCCTGTTTGTGGGCACAGCCTGCCTAGGTCTGTTCCTCAGTAGCACCTTCCCCAGCATGCTGGCTTACACTGAAGACATCCTCCAGTACAAAGGTGAGCATCTCCACTCTCCCATCAGAGTCTGAGCAGAGAAAGGAAATACCAGCAGCAAGGAGCAAGCCCCTTTCACCTCTCCAAGGTCATGCTTTGCTGCTTACCCAGGAATAACTCTGTCTAAACTGGAATGTTGCTTCCCACTACCACTTACCACCCCGTGAACCATCCACATGCACCAAGCTGGTAGGGTAAAATGAGGGGACATGAATGAATGGCTAATAGGGGGCCACAGATGCTTCTGGACACAGTATTGAGTGGGAGGAACAGGAACTTTTGACTGGTACCCGAGCTGGCTGCAACCATTACTTTAAAATTCGGTGCTGTACATAAAGAAGTGCAGGGCTTAGTTATGGAGCAAGCCGGAGGGCAGCACAATAAACAAATCTTTGATGTATCAGAATGCCAAAGGGCCGTGCCAATGCAGATTCACAACTGAAGAGCAGGTGTGGCTCATTTCATAGACCCTCCATCCTGGGGATACTCTTAGCTCTCTAAAGCTTTTCATTTTAGCAGTTTCCAGAACATGTTCCCTTTGTTTTCAGGCTGTGCCACAACAGTGTTAGTGACTGGAGCTGGAATCGGAGAGATGGTGCTACAGTTACTGGTGGGGTCGGTAAGTGCAGAAAAAAAAAAGAGGAAAAAACCAGGATATGTTTGAATTGACTGGGGTTTTATTTCTAGCCCAGAGGTTTATTTGAGTGAATGGAAGTCCCAAAGCTTGCCAGCACAAGGTGGGGTGTAAGTCTTCCCTGCACCAGCCTGCCACCATGCACTAAAAGTCCCCTACTGCACTTCTGTCTACCCCACTTAGAAGTGGGAGTGGATTTAGGCACAAGAAGAGAGGTGTATTGCATGGCAACAGGGTTTATGTGGACACGTGGTGCTCGCCGACAGTTCTGAAAGCTAGAGAATCATTCTGCAAGGAAAGAGGGCTCAGGCTTCTGTAGAGAAAATGGGCAATACCTACCAGTGGAAGCTGCTAAGCTACCACCAGCCACTGAAGAATGCTAGAGATAATTATAGCTAGAAGTGCCCGCTGCTGTAGCAGTGCATCTACACACTAAAGCTGGAGGTGCAGTTTCCATCTTGGGTCAATCTAGCCAAAAGAGCAGCATAGCCGTGGTGGGATGTGCTAGCTGCCGCACTCCCTACCTTATCACCAAGCAATGCCACCGCAGCGAGAGGCTGTTTTGCATTACCGCTGCTGTTGGGAGTTAAGTTTGGAGAAGCACAGAGGCAGCATATTCCCTGTGTGATGTTCCTTAGAGCAGAAATGCCCATAAACATCCATCTGCCTGGCTCTGGGGCTTGCAGAAGCTCCACTTCCCACTGCTCTTTGCCCCCCCAAAGTCATAGAAACTCCTGACAGAGATGGGGATTACTAGAGCTTGTCAGGTGATGAAACAGGCATAGTCTTTCACTGGGCATGTGATTCAGGTAGGTCTTGGTTAGGCCATTTAACGGGCAGAGTTTATTTGCAGAACACGTCTCTCATACATGTGCATAAAGCTGTCCGTCTGCACAGAGAGATCGCATGAGACTCCAGAGAACCAACACAACCTGGGAAAACAGATGGGGTTTGGCACTTAGCTCCCAGGTCAACAGATGAGCTTTGCTGGACCAGCAGGGGAAATGGATTCTCTGAGTTGAAGGTTCAAACAAAGGAACACTGCTGACCCCTGACAGGAGTTATGTAAACACCCTGCTGCTCCCTGGGGCTCGCCCTGATACGAAGCACCTCTCTCCCTGTACTTAAGACCCTTATTTTTCTTTACGGCAGATTATCCACGATCAGGGCAGCTACAATTTCCTGGTTTGTGGGACGATCTTTGGAGGTTTGGCCTTCACATTCTACGCTTTCCTCTTGTTTTTCCACAGGATGTACCCCAAGCCCTCGTCAGGTAAGAAAACGCCGGTAGCTCGGCCTACTTTAAAATGACAGGAAAAATGACATGTACCACGCCATGCAGCCAGCATGCAGCCTGTTCCAAGTAAAATGCAAGGAAATGTTTATTTTCCCACTGCTTCCTGTTCCCTCTTCCTGCTCCGACTTGCCCACAAAACCCTGGCAGACATAAGTCTGAGTCGGCTTTCTTTGCTGAAAACACTAAGCAGGTTTTTGGCACAGGGGAGGAGCCACAAATGGAGTGGGATGACTCCAGCAGAGCGATTGGGTTTCTCAGCTATGGAACTAGTAGAAGCAAGTCCTAACAGTTGCAGTCCCTGGCCTGCTTCCCGGCTGAGGCCAGGAATCATGCCGCCTTTCCCCTGGAAGACAAAAAGCCAGGGCTTGTAATGGCGCTGGTACAACGGCCTTAGATTTCTAGAAGTGCCACATGACGTTTTGCACAACAATCAGAGTGATACAAGATTAAGATGGCACCCATCAAATGCAGGAACTGATTGGTCTCAAAGGTAGACGGGGAATCGGCACTGAGCAGGTGTTTCAGTGGAGTACTGCAGGGACTGATTCCCAGCCCTCTGATATTTAACATTATCATCAGTGATCTGGCAGAACACACACACAAACTGCTTGCAGGTAGCACAAAAAATGGGGGGAGCAATAAATAAGAGGAAAGGTCACTCATTCAGAGCAGTCATGAGCAGCTGGTGAACTAGGTGCAAGCAAAAATGTGTGTATTGTGCGATTCTGGAATGCATAAAGAGGGGACTATCAAGTGGGACTGGGTGACTGCTGTCCCCAAAATTGTCTCCACAATTCAGAAAGGATGTTGGGATTGGCCCTGTCTGGGGCAGGGGACTGGACTTGATGACCTCCTGAGGTCTCTTCCAGCTCTGTGATTCTATGATGTTGATAACTTGGAATGAGTTCAAAGAGCCATGAGACAGAACACATGCCTTATAATGACAGATGCGAAGTGCTCAATCTATTTAGCGTAACAAACAGGAGAAAGGATGGCATGATTAAGTCTAAGCATCTATAATGGGGATAAATATTAATAAAGGGCTCTCCAGCCTGGCAGAGGAAGAAACAGAACACAATGAAATGGCTGGAAGCTAAAGTTAGCTAAATTCAGCCTAGAATAAAGTGTACATTTTTAGCAGGGGCTGTGTCTAGACTGGCCACTTTTTCTGGAAAAGCAGCCGCTTTTCTGGAAAAACTTGCCAGCTGTCTACACTGGCCGCTTGAATTTCCGCAAAAGCACTGATGATCTCATGTAAGATTGTCAGTGCTTTTGCGGAAATACAATGCTGCTCCTGTTCGGGTAAAAGTCTTTTTTCCTAAAAACTTTTGCGCAAAAGGGCCAGTGTAGACAGCAGAGATTTGTTTTCCACAAAAGAGCCCCGATCGCGAAAATGGCGATCGGGGCTCTTTTGCGGAAAAGTGCGTCTAGATTGGCCACGGACACTTTTCCGCAAAAAGTGCTTTTGCAGAAAAGCGTCCTGCCAATCTAGACGTGCTTTTCAGAAAATGCTTTTAACGGAAAACTTTTCCGTTAAAAGCATTTCCGGAAAATCATGCCAGTGTAGACATAGCCAGGGAGAGTACTTAATCATCAGAACAATTTACCAAAGATTGTGGTGGATTCTCCATCACTGACCATTTTAAAATCACAATTGTTTTTTGTTTTGTTTTGTTTTGTTTTAAGTTCTGTCTAGGAATTATTTCAGGAAATTCTATGGTTCTGCAAGAGGTCAGACTAGATAGATGGTCACAGTGGTCAGCCCTGGAATTCATGAAATGCCATAGCTGCAAACCCTACCTTCCAAAGAAAACAGCTGCCCATCTCTGTAGTAAAAGACAGCATTGACAAATTCTGTGTGTGAGAGGTGAGAGACAGGACATTTCCTATGTTGTTTCTGAGCAGTAGCTGTTTCAGCATCCTTTGCACCAAGATCACTGTTTCCCCTAAAGAAATAGGACAAGAAGCAACGGGCTTAAATTGCAGCAAGGGAGGTTTAGGTTGGACATTAGGAAAAACTTCCTAACTGTCAGGATGATTAAGCACTGGAATAAATTGCCTAGAGAGGTTGTGGAATCTCCATCACTGGAGAGATTTAAGAGCAGGTTAGACAGACACCTGTCAGGGAGGATCTAGACAATGCTTGCTCCTGCCGTGAAGGCAGGGAACTAGACTCGACCTCTTGAGTTCTATGATTCTATGAATTAAGCTTCACAACAATCCTATGAAGTAAACCCACTTTGAAAACAAGTGAGGAGAGGTCCTGCAAAGTTAAGAACATAATAATAGCCATCGTGAGACAGACCAAAGGTCCATCTAGCCCAGTGTCCTGTCTTCTGACAGCAGCCAGTACCAGGTGTCCTAGAGGGAATGAACAGAGCAGGCAATCATCAAGTGATCCACTACCCCACCCCCGTCGCCCATTCCCAGCTTCTGACAAACAGCCAGGATGGGCAGGAATGGAGTCCATAGCCTCTAATAGCCATTGGTGGGCCTAACCTCCATCAATTTATCTAGTTCTTTTTTGAATGCTGTTAAAGTCCTGGTCTTCACAACATCCTCTGGCAGGGAGTTCCACAGGTTGATTATGCACTGACCAAAATAAGTCAGGCAGTAACAATGTTGGAAACAGATTCAACTCCTGTCCAACCTTCCCCTTCACTTTTCATTGATTGGCATGAGGGATGCCTCCAAAAATTAGATGCCACTACTCTCTCACAGGCAGAGACAACCACCTCTGCATCAACAACTTCAAGAAATACGGCAGGTAGGTATCCAACAGAGCAGAGCGACTCAGTTTATGCATTTTCTTGTATACCATGTTAGAATGAACACATCGATTCTGCACAGTATGATACTGACAGGTGAACTAATCATATTTTGCAGAGGTGGATGCCTCCTCACCTGACAAGCCAGCAATGACGGGCGACTCTGGACTTTATCAGGGCTAGAAAGGCCTAGCCCTGGACAAGGAGTTGTATGTATTTACAATAAACACAAATCATCAAGTGTTCCTAGTAAGGATGATTTCACACTAATTATGTGGCTAAAATACTGGAGTTTTTTGCAATCAAAAGTGTTAAATTTGAGTAAGTCAGAACCAAACATCCTAAGTCACCTTGGGAGGCCAAGTACGTGAGCAGAAGTTGCTTGTGTCTGTTATTTCATTAAGAAGAATCTCAAACAATGCAGAATCCTGTATCCTGGACATCTGCAATTTATGGCAGCTTGGTGGGGAAAAATTCCTCTTGTAAGCAGCTTCCCTTCAGAGGATTGGCTGGAAGCTGCAAGTCTATTACCACGCCATGTGCCATATTTTAGGTATTGCCTGGTTTAGAGTTACTATAATCCATACGTTTTTCTGTGGGTATGTGAGCACAGGACCCATTTGTAGCCACGGTCCTGACAACCTACAGCACCAATTCTAGCTTTTAATTAATACAGAGCAACCCTCTGCATAATGCTGTGCTGCAAGAGAGGTTCAGAATTAGTTTTCCAGCAGCTGTAGGTATAGCCAAGTTTCAAATGTGTTCCCAAAGGGGAAATCACAATATTTGCGGAGACTACCAGGTGCACATTGATAACAAGCTCCATCTATAGTACACAGCATCAGAGATGCTCATTGCAGCACAGCCATAAATCAATGGATTACAGCATAGGAAGTATTTCAAATTAGAGGACACAAAGGAAAGAATGAGTTTTCCTGGTTTATGTTTGCCTAAGTCACTGGTAAGCTGCAAAAGTGTCCGTTTCAAGTAGCAGTATTCTAGGGAAGTTTGCGGTCTAGCTTCTATCCGAAACCTTAAGCAGGTGCATCCAAGCACCGCCTCCACCCGTTTAATCTGTGCAATACCACCTACAAGAGGTGCCTTACATGAGATGAACTCTAGAGGTACTGAATACCCCAAGAAAGATCCGTTACAATCCTAGCAAATGCAATGATGCTAGCTTTCTGGAGATACCTTGGGAAAGTCTGAAGAGATGTAGGTTTTAGTGCAATTGTATGCGGATGTACATATGTATGTGTGTATATAAAGCAATGTTAATTAAAAGTGATTATGATATTCTCATTAGGCTCTGAGTGTAACTGTTGCAGGACTGGAATAATTTAAACCAAACCCCTCCTGGCCAGACATTTCCAAGACTGAGATTAGCACTGGCTCTCAAATGAAACAATTTCAGGTATTATCTAGAGCAATTTGACTGAAGCCCTTATTTATTCTGTACACTATGCAGCATTCACTTTCACATTTCAAACTGCAGTACCCTCCATAAATCCAGAAGGTGGTTGCACGAGCCTTTGGAATTAGTAACCCATCTACCATTTTTCCCATACTTAGCAATTAGGGCGGTCAAGCAATTAAAAAATTTAATCGTGATTAATTGTGTGATTACTAAATTTAATCACGATTAATCGCATGTGCTTCCCCTTGGAAAGGCCACCCTGGGCTGATCCCCTGTTCTGCGTTCCGCTGCCCCTTTGAAGTGCCGCTCCAGGGCTTCAAAGGGGCAGTGCAGCATTAATGTCTGTGATTAACATGTTAATTTTTTTAATGTGTTAATCCTGCCCTGCGTTAATCGCAGGCGTTAACGCAGATAAACTGACAGCCCTAGTAGCAATTGAAAATCTCTTCCCAGAAAGTTCCCTTAGGAAGCATAGGTTGAACTTCTCTAGTCTGGCATGCTCTGATCCAACAACATGCGTAGTCCGGCATGACATTAGTCAAATGTCCACTTATCAAAGTTGCGGCCAAGTTTCCCACAGTCCCCTAAAGTTTGTTTACAGCCACTAGCCCTGGCTCTCAGTGTTCTGTGCTGTTATTTAGCTCTAATTTACCCCTAAACATCTTCTAAGAGCCCAGGAAGCAGTGGGAGTGTTGGTAATGCTTCCAGACAATGTTGACCTCCTGTGGTCCATCAAATTCTCTGGTTCAGCACCGGTCAGGTCCCCGAGGTGCCTGACTAGAGAGGTTCAACCTGTAATACTTTTGGAAACTAGCTCATGGTCATACAAAGGTCAGGCTGAGTACACACGAACCCTCACAAAAGAGAGGCAATGAAACTGAGGTGGTATGTTCAGTATGAAAGAAATGGTTACTCACAGTGTCCTCCGGAAGAACAGCTTTTAGTTAATGACTTCACGTGAAATTGGAAATGCACTGTAATTCCTTTGTATCCCCAGCTGACGCCACTGTGACGCTGCACTAGGGATGTAAGAAAGACTTTAACCACTTATCGGTTAGCCATTTAAACACCATCTTAACCGTCGCCACTATGCCAGCTCCCGGCCCTGCTCCCAGGTAGATGGCTGCTGCCCCACCAGCTCTGCAATATAAAGCTTATACTGCAGAGCCCGCAGAATGTGTAACCGGTAGGATTTTTAATGGTTATACAATTATTTTTAATCAATTTTTACATTCCTACCCTGCACATGGTTCAGTGAGGCAGGACAACAGGTCTTAGTACTGTAACTGATTATTCAGCAAATGCTCCCTATTACATCCAGTAGCTAGTATTGCATTTCAAACTCCCTCTTAGGGAAAACCTTCCTTTAACAGAGGGGAAGAGTAAACCACCCATCTCTTCGGGTACAACTGGACTAATTTCGATTATGTGCCAACATAATCTAGGATTAAGATAGCAAACGACTGGATTTTTAATGTTCTCTTCAAAGGAATCTACTTCAAATAAGACATTCCCTATTCTAGAGATCATAGTATTTCATCCTTAAAAAACAGAGCTGGGTCTTTGCGGGGTGATGGCAGCAGGCTAAATACTGTAGCCAGGAAGCAATGTTTCCCATTCCCTGGCTCTGTAAATCCAGCTTTTTGCCATCTCCAAACTCTGGAGAAGGGTACAGTCATAGGCAGAGATCTCACCAGGCGGAGAACAGCACTGAGCTCTCCCAAAAGGATTGTGCAACAAGCTCTTTACCTCTTCTAGACAAGATGCAAGTGAACCTGTAAATACTTGAAGGTAATGAATATTCTTCATTGACAGGGAGTTCATTACACCCCTACAGCAGCTGTGACTCTTTCCTCTAAAGGATAGAAGATCAAAGGCTTTGTTAAAAATATTTATTTAAAAAAATACAATTGTTTTCCATATCTGGCTGCACGTATCTATTAACATATGATTGACTTGAATAGTTTGCTACAATGCTTTTTTAAAAAGCCAGCTTGCATTATTATACAAAGCGAATCCCTCTGACAATTCTTACACAAAATAGTTTCCTCAACCATTCCCCACCCCTTTTTTATTTTATTTTTTTAATCGCCATACACTGGATTTTCTTCTGCACAAAACATGAAGCAATAGACAAGTCACCCCATTACTCAGGGAAGACCTTCATTATGTCTGAATGTTCTTAACCAATGCACCAACCTTTTAAAGCAAAGTTGTCTAGTGCTGCAATCCCCTCAATGATTAGCACTGCACCTTCGAATTTTTGCCCTTATAATTTCTCTCAAAACTGAAACATGTTGAACCACAAATCAGCTGTAATCCGTAGCTCAAATTCCATCAGGTTAGCTTTGATCACACACATTAATATGCTGAAGGTCTCCCTAATCTCTTATGCAAGGAGGTTAAATAAAAGCAGATTTAGTAACACTGAACAGTTTCTCAGAACTTTGGCTATTTATGCACTTGCATTACATACCAGCAGTTTTTTTTAACAGCAACAATGGCATTAAGATACTGGATTTTATAAAGGTACAATTTTCAAAAGAACAAAGTTACACTGAAAGAAAGCTACTTTATTCCCAGTTAAGTTTCCCCTGGTAGAATCAGAACACCAGGACTGTCCAAGATTACAATATTTATCCAAAAATATGAGATCATTGGTAGAATACATAGGAGGGTAGCAGATGTATATAACTCTGCCCCAGAGCAGAAATGTGCTTTATCTGCCAGATTAAAGTACTGGCAGATACTAGATTAAAGTGCAATTCTACTCTGGAACGAGTAAGTGAGGATGCCATCTACTGCCCCCTGTGTAGTCAGGCAGAGCTGTTGGTTTTAGTGATTAAGGTTAGATTTGACCATTGTGGGCTCTGCAGAATCAGGATTGCATGGAGGTAAGATGGGTTCTTTTCGGCTTAAAAAAAAATACAGGGTGATAATTCCGTCCTCTGCTCCACGTGTCCACCTCAGTGAAAACAATGCGGTTGCATCCATGAAAATGACTGCAGAGTTCAGAGCCCCGGGTGATGATACACAAAGAGGAAAAGAACACAGTTCAACTTTCAGATCCTACTTTGAGTTTGCAGGTGTTTCCCCCTACACCTCCCCCGCAACTTGTAAACAAAGCAAATTTAAATCTGAAGTTACTGACACACACTGAACCTTTAATATTTGATTCATGTTTTTAAAAAGTTTCCATGCCGTATTACCATAACTGACCGTGTGGCTTAAATTCTCCCCAAATTAATTCATGTCCCCGTGCTCTGAACCCTTCAGATAAGAAGCTACTGAGCCAGATTCTCGGCTGATGTACATCAGCTCACATCTATTGGAGTAAATTATTTCAAGTTACACCCGCTGTAGATCTGGCCCACAATTCAAACTTTCCACTAAGAAAGCATCAACTCGCACAAAATACCCCAACCCAGTTACCTGCTCATTAACTCCCTTTACAGTTTTCTATCAGTGTTTCCTGCTGTCTTAATACAATTCAAAGGAGATAACCAGAGCTCAGATCAGGTCTCCCACTTCAAGTTGAGAGTTTTCTTGTATGTTTATCTCAATCACCAAGACAATCACCAAGGCAGGGAAATATTAAATATGCAATTGTACCTATCACAAACACTGTGACATATATAAGGCCATCTGGTAATACTGCAATAAAAATACAAAATTTTGAAAGGGAACTTTAGAATATGACTTTTTTTTTAAACTATAACAAATAACCACAACTCTGGTTACAAAGATTTAATAATAGAATATAGCACATCATATAGAAAACTGTGCAACTGAACAATAGCAGAATAAAGTCAACACAATTGTATAAAGCCTATATTTAAGACATACTAGCCACACACACACACAAACCCACCACACGACCAAAAACAAAAAACCCACAACAGATCAAGGAAGCTACTAGCAAAACTGGGTATTCTAATCCTTTGTCTTACACACACACACACACACACAAGAGCGTGCGCACGCACGCGCACACACCCCCAGTACAGGTTTTAGAAACCATGCAAAGGCCTTCCAGAAAGCCTTCTTGTGTGAAACTGTTGACAATAAGCGCTTCCAGTTATCAATATAGTGCTCCTTTAAGTATTGCTTAAGGACTGAATGGGGCTACAACAGAATTGCCAATTTTTTTTCTCCTCCATTAACACCATGCCACTTAAAGTCATGTGAGCAATGCGTATCTGCTAAAAGAACTGTGCTTTCAGGAGGTTTCGGAGTTCTGTTGTTAAGAAATGTTCTTTAAGATGACTTCTAATGCAAGGTCTCTATGGAGAAGCAAATATTTATCTCCGAGTTTTAAAAATCAAATCTGTGTCCAAATTTAAGTTCTATGAGCATAAAGCTAATCAAAGACCAATTTGAGACACTTTTTGGGATAAGTACATCATGTCAAAGACAGATTTACAAAAATAAAATTTGGCAAGCTATTAGCCCATAATATGGCACAATGGATTTAGTGCTTATTTCTATTTTAAAAAATAATTGAAATGTGCAAGACATTAAAAAGTGGCAACTGCCAAGTGCAGTATTTATTTTTAAACATCTTAAGCATTATTTGTATCATACAAGTCTGGAACGTAGGCCAGGTCTACATTAGGGGAGAAAGTCAACCTGAAGATATGCAACTCTCAGCTACGTGAGTAATGTAGCTGGAGTCAACATACCTTAGATCAAATTTCTGTGGCATCCCCACTGTGGGAGGTTGATGGGAGAAACTCTCCCATTGATTTCCCTTACTCATCGTGACCCGTTGGAATACCAGAGTCAACGGAGGTGCCCATCAGCAATTGATTTAGAAGGTCTTTGCTAGACCCGTTAAATCAAACCCTGGAAGATTGATCTCCACAGCATCAATATTGCTGTAAGCGGAGACAAGCCCTTAGACTAAAAAGTGAATATATGTCCCTCAAAAATATGTATAAATATGCATATTCATGATATTAGAGTTGTTCCAGTAAATTAAATAACACGTACAAAAACAAACCTTCAACTGTCAAAAAAAATGTGCATTTACGTAGGTGACTGGAATAACTTCAAAGTCAGTTAACGTGTTCTCCAGCATTCTTTTAGTTGGGGAGGAAGGAAATTAAGTTTAATATTAAATCTAGTTACATGGGCTTTTGTAGACCCATCTAAATCAACAGTGACATAAAGAAAGAAGATGTACAATGTTGTGCATGTTCATGAATGAACGAACATCAGATTTTGCTTGGTTTTCTTAACTGATGTCGCTTCTTTAAAAACATCGTCATTGTCAGCATAGCTGTATTTCACACTGACTCTGTTCTCTTTTATCAATATATTCATTTCACAAACCAAAGCCATGTCATTTCTAACTTCAAGCTCCATCAGTAACCTGAAGATAAAATTCTGTTCTTTCCGCTTCATGAACTATCAGAGACAGAGCCAAAAAAATTAAACAGCAAACCTGCTGATGCACAAGACCTGATGCCAGGTTGCTTTCTTTCCTGCAATTGCTCAGTAGTGACAAAAGCATTACGTTCTTGATGCCGATAGCAGTGTAGGAGACAAGTGCACAAACAACATGCCATCTGGAAAGATCTTCCTCGGTCCTGAACCGCCTTTAAAAGAGGCCTATCAAGAATGACTAGCTCAAAGTATAGCCATTTTACTACCTAACAGAATTCTCTCACAAGGCAGCTCACTACCATGACCCAACAATTTCAATTAAGGGAAGAGACCTTTAAAAACAATAGCCTTGAAGAACTGCATAAAACACTAAAAGAATAAAAGCAACTGTCACTGCATTCCATCTCCACATCTTCATTTGGGCAGCATCTGTATTGAAAGGACCAAAATTTCGCATTTTACATACTAACCACCACATCAGTCATTGGCACTAGCCAAATGCTTCCACATTAAGTGAAAGTTTTGCTAATACTGTCCAGAATAAGCAGCAGTCACTGCTATCCACTATCATTAAGTTAAAATCAGTTTCTCAAAAGACTTCCTATTTAAGCAGCTCACTCTGTACCTTTTTTTATTTTTAGGGTACCTCAAATCAGCTAATTACCAGGATTGTAACAGTGATGGCATTTTTAATTTTGGACTTTTCAGTTTAGAAAAGAGGAGACTGAGGGGGGATATACTATAGTCTGTGCTAAATAGTCTTAAAACAGAGTACAAATATACATAGCTGTAGGTTTCAAAGACCAGAACTTAAAAAGTAAATTTCTTGGATATGAGAACTAAGATAAGATGCCGAGCAAAGTCCTTGCAGACACCCACAAACCCAAACATTGAGTTTTAATGTCTATCAATCTTGACAGTGTCCCTTAACTACTGAACAAGTTTATTTTCTGATTGACACATACCAAGATAGACTCTTGATTCAACATTGAGATGCGTCTTGTAAACACATAGGCATCAGTGGAAACATTTGTGAAATTGTGTAGCGAAATAGGATTACATATAAAAATACTATAAACGGGGTAGCAAAAAGGTAACTAAAATGCAGTTATGATGATGATGATGATACAGATATACAATAAGACCTGAAGAAAAGCTCCACAGAGCTCTAAAGCTTAACTCTTTCACCAACAGAAGCTGATCCAATAAAAGACCAACCTTGCCTCTCTTCATACCCTGGGATCAACATGGATAAGAAAACACTGCAAATATACAACCAATTGTCAGAACTGTAGATTGTTCAGTGCAGCATTGGAAAACCATTCCATAGATCAGAATTACAAATCTGTGTTCACCTGGTGAGTAGAATGATACAAATAGTACAATCAAGTTCTCATATGTATAATTTGGATTTGCTGTAGAAGAGCTTGGATGAAAGATGATTGCATGAAAGATTCTTCCCACGTTAAGTAATGGTTTTTATGCAACACATTAACTTTTCAAAGGAGGCTATACATACCACAGAACTGGATACAAATGGCCTTCATTGTGGTTCAACTCAACATGCACACACATGCAGGCGCACACACACAAAGAACATATTTGCTAGATAATTTGGAGGTTGTGAAATCATAGCAGAGATATAAATTCTCCCAATTGAAGTCACTGAATGTCAAGGCTGTCCAGCCTGCACGGTTTAGGGTACAAACAAGAGTTTTTTAATTTAAGGAATCCGTCTTTCATTATTTCCTAAACTTTTGTAAAACATAACCTGAACTAACTGAAGATGACACACAGCAGCTGGGGCTGTCGGGATTGTGCCAACTGGAAAAGCTGGCAATTGTGTACTTGCTGGTAAATAGCAATT